CTTGCATCACTTGGTATTCCCAAGCGGTCACCTGTCTAGGTACTGACCAGGCTTGAGGTTGCTTAACTTAGGTGATCGTACGCGAACCAGAATTTCAATGTGATGTGGCAGTAATCTTTGAGATTTTGGGAGGTGGATTCGACAGAGAACCATCTCTGTAGCCACTCACATACACATACCAGGTATAACTGCAAAATTGTTGCAAATCGTGTAACAGCAAAATTGTCCCATTGTTAGATTAAGAATTGAACCGTCGTATCTTAGAAATGATTAAAGATATCTTACTGGAATTCTTGGAGGTTTTTTTTATAACACTTTACTTCGAGCAATAAGAGTGTATAATGACTCTCCAAGATTAACAGAAGAATCGTGAGGAAATCGATCATAAACGAAAATGACTGGGAAGCAAGAAGCCGGAGTTCCACAAGTGAGAAGTGAGATAGAAGAAATTATTAGCATAGAACTTACGCACCCGCATAGACAAATTTACATCACCTGGTAGTCCTAAGCGGTTTCCCATCTCGATACTGACCAGGCTCGACGTTGCTTAACTTCGGTGATCGTACGGGAACCGATGTTTCAACGTGATGTGACCGTACCCCTATAAGGGTAAATATTTTCGATGACTCTCTAATTTCTCCTCACATTTGTATGTACTTTTCTTTTATTATTTCGCCCTACTAAGGCAATAAAGTTACTAAAACGCAAGAGGTTACTGAGTGTTAGAGAATATGAGAGAAAAAAAACAGACTATTAATTCTCGGGGGTTTATATAACACAACTGGATTTTGCTGTGAACAATAAGAATGTATAATTACTCTCCAATCATAAAATTGTGGTGAAATCGATCATAAATGAAAATGACATTTTGATCATTAATTAATCATAGCTAAGGATCGGAAGCTCATGAAAGATTGAAATAATGTTCTGTCCTGGAGTAACAATGTGCTTCACACGTTTCACGTACGACTTCGTTTTCAAGTCTTTTTTTTTTTTTTTTTCTTTTACTGCTGTTTGGACTGTCATAGCTGAAACTTCTCTTTCACGTGACAAACGTCTTATGGATTGAACTGGATCTTTTCTACTTGATCTATTTAACTATAAGTTGAAATGATGATCCCTTTTTCTGTTGTGACCTCTTTAACCAGTTCTGCTTTCTACTGGTCCCTCTTTTTTTTTAAAACATATTCACCATTCTCTTGATGATTCCTGAAGGGACTTTGAAGGTGGAAGCCAGGATATGAATGTTAGTATCAATACTGAAGGCCTTAATGATCTTTTTCCTCTCACCACTGCTCACTTGCTCTACTCTAAGCAATAATAATGAATAATCTATAATTATTTTCCAAGTTTAACAGATGTATCGTGATGAAATCGATCATAAACGAAAATGGCATGTTCATTATTCATTAATCTAGCTAAGGATCGGCCGCTCATATATATATATATATATATATATATATATATATATATATATATATATATATATATATATATAAGAAGAACTTGGTAATCCCTATGGGTAATCTCAAGGAACCGTCCTATCTTTTTTTTTTTTTGGAAGTTCTATCTGATGATCCGGCGACCTTTAAAAGGGCTCTGGTGAAATAAATTATTATAATAGTACCTTAAAGTGGTCTGTTTTTCTTTATATATATATATATATATATATATATATATATATATATATTATTCCAGGATCATTTTCCAACTTATTCAAGATGATCTTCGCCCTCTAACCTTCTAACTTTAGATCCTGGAGTAACAAGGTGCCTCAGAGGTTTCGTGTACGATTTCATTTTCAAGTTTTTTTTTTACTGCTCTTTGGACAGTCAGAGCTGAAACTTCCCTCTCATGTGCCAAACTTATCTCTTTAGTTCAAAGTTGAAATGATGATCCCTCTTGCTGTTGTGACCTCCTGATCCAGTTTTTCTCTCTACTGTTCTCTCTTTTTTTTTTTTTAAACTTATTCACCCTTATAATTTATCCATAGATTCTATATTCTCCGTCTGGTTTACTTCATCTTTTTTTAAAAAAAAATTATCCCTTTCTAACACTGACATTTTCCTTTTCATTTGTAAGTTGCCGTATGTCTTTTGGTAACATGATGTTATTTCTGTATCTTTCATGTTTCAATGGTAGCAAATAGTTTGCATATCTTTCTTTAAATTGGTTCTCAATTTCGCCTTACATAATACATTTTTCTCCCTGTAATTTTCTTGCGATGGACATTTGGTTTTGATTCTGCAATTACATTTTTTTTTATTTGTATTTTTGCATTGTCTCTAATATTTTGTTCAATGTTATCCATGCAACTGTAACTGAATTTATTGTGTTTCTATTACATATATATATATTGATTGGTAGGTAGATAGATAGATAGGTATAAATGTGGATATAAATCAAATAATCTACGTTTAATTTAGCGTTCCTCCCAGAAGATTCAGTATCATAAAAAACAACCGTAATCGGCCTTCATTCACAAGTTGGTAAAACCACGAAACTTTAATTTGCACTTCGAACATAGGTATGCATGCATATATATATATATATATATATATATATATATATATATATATATATATATATATATGAGAGAGTTCATTTTCTTTTTCTGTATGGTTTGTATCTATTATTCTCTAAATTTAATATTTTTAGTCATTTTTTTTTACATTCCAATCAAGGCGATAATGCCACTAAGACGCAAGGGGCTACTGAGAGTGAAAGAGAATTAGAAGACTTTAGAAGGAACCGGAAACCCAATCTTAAGCAGGAAAGACGGGCTAAACTTCTAATTCTGTTCAAAATACAGAGGTGTATCTACGTATTTTAAATTTATAATATATATATTTCAAATCCTAAATCCTTAGCAGTTTAAATATTGCTTTCATTAGTTTATCGAAATTATGACCTTTCATATTTTTTACAATTATTAATCCATCATCTCTATATAGACCTAGGTTTTTTTTCTCTCTTATTAAAGATGTTTTTTTTTGTATATGAATTACAATTAATTCATGTTTTTATTAATCACGGCCACCTTTAGTAACCCGTCCTGGGTAAGACGTTAAACTACATCCGCGTCCTGGGTAAAAAGTTAAACTACGTCCAGCAGCAAGGTCTCTGATGAGGAGGTTTTGAGGAGCGTGGAACCACCTCTTAATTGTCGGTGTTCCAAGGTCCACTCTGACCCGGGGTGGTAGCACCTGTTAGGGTCCCAGCTATGGGCAAATAGTTAACTATTACCAGCAATACATTTTGAAAAAACATATTACCAGCAATACAATTTTGAAGGAAATATATTACCAGAAACAGATTTTTGACAAAAGAAAATATTACCAGCAATAAAAATTTTTGTCAGCATTAAATAACCCATTGACGTTGATATGCCGTTAAACAAAATAAACCAAACCAATCTAAACCAAAGAATACATATTCTGTTCATATGAATCTATCCTAAAAATGTTGTCAGCATTAAATAACCCATTGAGGTTGATATGCCGTTAAACAAAATAAACCAAACCAATCTAAACCAAAGAATACATACTCTGTTCATACGAATCTATCCTAAAAATGTTGTCGGCGTTAAATAACCCATTGACGTTGATATGCCGTTAAACAAAATAAACCAAACAAAACCCTATGGTAACATTAAACTTATTTTTCGCGCCATTTTTCGCGCATTGTACAGTTTTGTTAAATAATTATTTTTTTTATAATGTCTGATCGTTTTTTTTGTTCATATTCTTCTATCTGCATATATATTTCTCTTCTGTCATATTGAATGCATTATTAAATACTTTTTCTCTGATAGATGGACAGAAATCGTTTATATCGAACTGTAAAACATTATATACTTTTTATGTTTTTAAATCAATTTATAACGTCGTTTGTTCTTTTTCCATTGATTTATTCCCATTAGTACAATTAGCTTTTAGTTTATTTTATTCATTTTTGTTTATCGTTTCAATCTCGCCTATAGCTGGGTTTATTAGTCAACATTGGTGTTTGGTTTTAAAATTATTCTTAGGGTCATTTTTTTGTGAAATATGCTGATGTTTTTAGTGTATTTATTTTGTTCTTTAAGTTCAGTTTAGTTTCTTATAACTTGGACAGATTTTAAATGTGAATTAAGTTTAAGAGTCTAATGATTTTTTTCTTTTTCTTTCATATTTAATAACTTAAGTCTTTGGTATAGGGTGCACCCTGCAAAACCTTTTTCCCCCGTTCTATTTTTGGGGGGAAACCCTCATACCGGATGTCATACCCCTAAATGACACACACAAAGGATTCCCCCTGATTTAAAACCGTTAATTTTAAAAAGTGTTAATAACCCTTTGGGGCAAAAAAAAAAAGGTTTTTAGGGAAAAAGGGGGAAACGAACCTAAAGAAAAAACCCCCTATTGGAATAAGCCTGTTCATATTTTATTTACATTTTTTTTAAAAAATTTAAAAAATTATAATATAATAAATAATAAAAATAATTTTTTAAAAAAATTTTTTTGGGCCTTTTTACTTTCTTGGGGTTTTTCCCCCCCAGTTTTTTTTGGGTTTATCTTTTTTTTTTCCCCCTACCCTTTTTCGCGTTCGGCCCCCACAAAAACCTCTTAAGATGTACTGGGAAGCCCTTTCCCTTTTAGATGGCACTTAAATGGGGAATCCCCAATCCCCCTTTAAAAATGGGCCCCAAGAATAAAAACCCCCGGATGCCTTTCCCTGCCATAAAAAAGCTTTTTTTAAGGCCCCTTCCCCGGGGCAAAAAAAAGGGTTTCTTTTGGCGACGACCCTTTCTAAACAAGTCCTATTATTTCCTTTTTTTCCCTAAAAATTACAAAAAGATTTTTTAAATATTTAGGCAAAAGGGGGGGAACAAAAGCTAGCCCCTCAATTGGGGGGTTTTTGGGGGTGCCCCCAATCTACTTTTGAATGGTGGGGGCCGGGGAAACAAAAAGTTGATTTAATAATTTTTCATTAAATGAGGGTTCAAATGGGAAACCAAATAGGGGGATGGGCGGGATGAACTAATTTATTCGTCAAAATTTTTAAAGAAAAATTTAAACACAGACCATTTTTAAGACGGATTTTTTTTTTAATTTTTTTTTTTTTTATTTTTATATTTTTTTAAATTTTTTTTTTTAAAATTTAAAAATTTTAAAAATTTGGGACCCACCGGTTTGAAAAAATTCAAGTTTGAGTTTTTTCGGTTTACAACCTTTTTAAAAATTTTTTTTGGGCCGGGGAAAAATTTTTTAAGTTTTTTTTTAATAAAATCAAAAGGGAAAAAGGGGGAAAACGAAGAAAAAAGGGAAAAAAAAATAAAAAAAAAAAGGGCAACAAAAACATGGGGGGTACAGAAAAGGGTGCAAAACCAGTCGTTTTATGCCCCAAAAGGGAAATTTTTAAATTTTTTTTAAATAAAAAAAAAAGGAAAAAAAAACGTTTAAAATAAAAAATTTATAAATAAGGGGAAAGGGGCTTTGGAAGAAGAAAAAAAAATGGGAATGAAAGGAATAACAAAAAAAACAAAACCCCAGAATTGTTAAAACCCCAAAAATGATTCTGGAAGAGAAAAAAGAAAGGAAAAGGGAGGAAAGAATA